AGATGTATGCACTAGGCGGTATGTGATACTATCTATATTTACAGATTCCTCACGTGAGGGTATGTTTTTATTGATTTTAGAGAGGAAGAGAGAGCAAAACATCAATGTGAGAGAGAGAAATCCATAGGTAAGTGCCCTGACCAGGAATCAAACCTGCAATCTTGTGGTGTATGGGATGATGCTCCAATTAACTTAGCCACCTGACCAGGGTGCTATATATTTTTAAATCAAATATCTTATTATGTACACAATGTAACAGTCTAGAAGTCATGTACCTTTTAAAAATGTACATATGTGAGCAGTTTGTGCTCAAATGTTTTCTTAATAATATGAGTGGTCAGGAAAGTTTGCAGCAGCGGTTCTCAACCTGTGGGTTGCGACCCCTTTGGGGGGTCGAATGACCCTTTCACAGGGGTCGCCTAAGACCATCGGAAAACACCTATATAATTACATATTGTTTTTGTGATTAATCACTATGCTTTAATTATGTTCAATTTGTAACAATGAAATTGGGGGTCACCACAACATGAGGAACGGTATTAAAGGGTCGCGGCATTAGGAAGGTTGAGAACCACTGGTTTGCAGGCTACTGTGATAGACCAAGGGCAAAGTGTTCTGGGCAGGTGTCATGTTTCTTTAACTCTGTACCCCTGATGTCCAGCCTAGGGCCTGGCATAGTGGGAGTACTCAATAAATGTTCTGAATGAGAACGAGTACACCAACAGATGAATTGATGAGTAAAAGGACATTAATTTAGATGTCCACCTTAATATAACTAATAAGTGGAACTGTCAGGATTCTAATTCAGGTCTGTTTAACTTCAAAGTCTGTACTTTTCCAATAGGCTGCTGCTCGGCACAACAAACAAATTAGCAAGGGGAACCTGAGATGTTTTCCCAACTAGTTGGTTGTTAAAAAAACACACAGATAAGCCCCAAGCAACAGAGAAAAGCATTACATTAATTAGGAGGTTTATATCATCCTGTCAGCTCTTCCACACGGAAAACATTCTTCAGAAACATAGAAAGACAAAAGGGCTAACCCATTTCCTCCAGCTATATGTTTGGGTAGCACTAAAGGCTGTGTGGCCAGGGGCACTTTTGTTTCCCAACTCTTTTTCAGCATAGGCCATATCTCCCCCATCAAAAGAACCCCAAAACAACTTAATTTAGGCAAGAACTTCAACATTCTTTTCCACTAAGTTATCTATCCACAATATTAAGTTGGTCACAAGACAGACTATCTTGAGTTTCATTTCTTATCCCTTCCTTCAAAGAAGAGTATAACGGAACATTTGAACCTTAAATGTTGAAAATCCAAGGACATTAGGTGATCAGAGCCTGAATAGGAACCACTGTTAATTAAGAACCTTCATGTGCAGGCCTGTCTACTACCAGTTGATTTCCACATCTTATAACATTTAATCTCCACAACTCCAAAAGTACTCTTATCCACATTTTAAGGATGGAGAAACAGGAGCTTATGCAGGTTAAGGAAGTTGTGCAAGATCATACAGCTAGTATAAGGGATTTAAACCCAAACCCATCTTGTTCAAAGCCCCTCTTTCCACTGCACCAGATTTCCAGATTCCAGAATAATATGTATAGTGCCTCTGCTGATGCATGGTTGCTAATATGTAATATAAGCAAATAAAACTTTGTTTCTTTATTAAACCACTGAGATTTGGGAGGCTGTTTATTATTACAGCCTTGCCTAAGAAAAGTTGGTTAGTATAGGTATTTTTTTAAAACATATTTTTATTGATTTCAGAGAGGATGGGAGGAGAGAGAGATAAAAATATCAAGATGAGAGAGAATCATTGATGGGCTGCCTCCTGCACACCCCACACAGGGGGATCGAGCCCACAACCCAGGCATGTTCTCTGACTGGGAATCGAACCGTGACCATCTGCCTGGTTCATAGGTCAACGTTTAACCATTGAACCATGCCAGCCGGGCAGTATAAGTATTTTTAACTATTTGCTGTTTATAGTGGTGTAAATTTGGTAACCGCTTTAATAATTTGGTATGGTGCAAAATATACTTAGAGCCTCTATTACTTTATACCATCTCAAAACAAGTTCTTACTTTTATTGAAGGCAAAGCCTCAAAAATTATTGAAACACTGTAGGGAAGATTGACTCTGTTGGGGCATGGCTTTGGCATTCAAATAGTTGAATACAAATTGTTGCATAAACATCTAGAAAAATGTATTTTTCTTAAGTGCAATTAGAGAATTTTAAGAGCACATTGTCAGATGGGAAATTAACTAAAGCCCCAATATTCTAATGCATATTTGTAAACTAAGAACTTATAAGAAACTCCAGAATTGTGACTTGATAAAGCATTATTAACAGAAATGTCCATATTTAAAAAAACACACCTGGATTTAGCCGGCTGGTGTGGCTCAGTGGTTGAGCGTGGATTTAGGAACCAGGAGGTCACAGTTTGATTCCCATGTCCAGTAGGGGGCATGCAGGAGTCAGCCAACTCATCATTCTCTCTCATCATGGATGTTTCTATCTCTCTCCCCCTCACCATTCCTCTCCGAAATCAATAAAAATCTATAAAAAAACAACAACACATGGATTAAAGTGTTAAATGCAATGTGTTGAGCTTTTGACATTGGCTGGTACAAAAATAATACAGGTCCAGGATTTATAGATGATAGAAAGCAGGAATTAGCACTCTGAGACCTGTTTATTAAGGGTTTATG